TGCGCCAAAGTCAATGACCCACGCATCGCTTTTGTCTTCTAAGGATAGGAGAAGTGCATCCGAATCCGTCTCGTGCATGAGATTGGCTACACCGTCAGTCCGATCATCCCCTGCTGATGCTAGAATAGTAACTCTGCAGTCCCGTGCAAAGTGGTCCTTCTTTCCGTATCTGAAGCACTTCCTTTCACCATAACCATTCGGGTTAGGCCCTTTAGACTTCCCTCTAGATTTTGATTGGCCTCGTCGTCCCCTACTCTTCTTCTGTGCACGCCCTCGTGCCTCGACATGCAGAGCACTCCCACTGCTAGAGGCCTCAGCTCCTGAGACTTTGCGGCGAGATTCTTCATCCAGAATTGCCCCAACTACTGTGTCGAGCTTCATCTTGTCATTGCCATTAGCGTTGCTCACCGTCATCACTATATTCTCCCATGAATCTGGTAGACAAGAAAGTAGCAGAAGAGCTTGGATCTCGTTGTCGAACTTTAGATCCACTGCAGCAAGCTGTTGCACAACAGCCTGAAATTCGTTCAAGAAGTCCGCCATACGAGCTCCTTGCTGCATCTTTAAGTTGAATAGCTTCTTCATTAGGAACACCTTATTTGAAGCAGACATCTTCTCATACAGCGCCTCCAAGGCCTCCATCAACTCCTTGGTAGTGGTCGCATGCGAGACGTTGTAAGTCACATGCTGGTGAAGGTTGAGCCCGATGGTAGCAAGTGCTTTACGATCGAACACCTTCCACTTATCGTCGTCCATTTTCTCAGGTTTCCCCGCCTCTCCTTGGAGGGGTAGGAAGAGATCACTTATCGTCGTCCATTTTCTCAGGTTTCCCCGCCTCTCCTTGGAGGGGTAGGAAGAGATCCTTCTGGTGCAAATAGTCTTCTATTTGCATCCTCCAATACCTGAAATTTTGGCCGCCGAACTTTTTAATTCGAAGTCTGTTGTCTTCAACTGTAGATCCCATGACGAAAGATTACGTCCTTACCGTATTCGTGAATAGTACCGTATTCGTGAATAGTACCATATTCGTGAATAGTACCATATTCGTGAACAGTGTCGTGCACGTGAATAGTGTGGGTACACCTGAATAGTATCCAATGCCTTAAAAGAGTAAATATTAATCTAACTTATTTTCTGATGTGGAGGATCCACTTTTAGTAGCAGCCACAGAGCATACAATAAGCAGATATATATACTCTAAGTTAGGCTCTGATACCAGTTGTTAGGATACACCCTAATAAGAACGCCTCTAACGGAGATGCAATACACAAAATAAAGGCACAAGATCAACCAAAGTACTCACAGATATACGTGGTTCACTCCTTCGGAGCTACTCCACGGTATAACGACGATGCCAAATTATTTTATATCCCAAAAGAATTGATCAAAGAGAACACCCTCTCTTGATCAGATACACTCTAAGAACTCTCACAATTTCTCTCTGTGTTTTCTCTCTTACTCTTCTATGAGAGGAGTTGTTTCTGGGATGAGATTTTCTTAAGAGTTTAGGGTCCTATTTATAGTGTTTGAGAAAATACTATGCACAAATAAAATATATTAGTGGGACCCGTCTTTGTGGGACCCACAACCCTTTTTTCAAACTTCACCTAAGTTTTGCCTAACACTTTTGTTTCATTAGGAAAAACTCACTGCCTAACTTTGTCCTTAGTCAAAAATATTGGCTGGGGCTGCTAACACATACTACTCCTGTCGACCAAGTTAAATGCATTCCAGAAGTCGACCAAAAGCATGGAGAGCAAGTCCTCCGCATGGTGGACATCAACGAACATATTAACCGCATGCAAAATTGTTTCTGCCCCTCCTGAGACTCCCACCCCCAAACTGAAAATCTCCCAAATAACTCGCCATGTCCTTCCCTACCTTCTTCATGGCCACTTTAGAGATGAGACGCCTCCAAATGGTACTTACCACAATCGGCCTAATGACTCCATCACTCTTCAACAACAGAGTGAGGGGAGCACTAGCAATAAAATCCGCCAAGGAGGCCAGACAACGCCCTTGCAACCACAAATTAACAACTGGAGTGAGAACCGCGAGAAAGTCGTTCCGCGAGAAAGTCGTTAGCAATAGTGGACTCCGGACCACAAAGTGAAAAATATTAATGGCTGATTTAGCCAAATAAATTTCTCTGGAATTTGCTTTGAGAGTGGATGATAAATGCCCTTTCATTTGTTTTGTTCCCCTCAAAAGTAGTAGTTCTGAGTTGATTTTTTCTGTGGAAGCTCTTGTACTGTTTGTTACCTAGCTCATTGTATGATACTGCAGAACAGCAAAAGCCACAAAAATGCTTCTCAAATTACAAGAGAAACTGATGTATTTCATTGGTCAATACCAAAGTCAATGAGTATAGAGAAGGCCTTATGTGATGATTTTTTTTTCTCCTCCTTTTCCTCCTAAAGAAAAAGTAGGGAGGAAAACACATAATTAATGCATCATGTAACAATGATAATGCCCATGTTCTTTTATTTTAGGCTCTAAGTTAAAGTTTGAACTCACATATAAAATAGGAGTTAAAACATGCTTGATGGTATTTTGGGGGAAATAACCTTTTTTTTTTCGCCCCCTTCAGTTTTCTTAGTTGCATCAAAAGGCTTTTAATCTAGACAGGAAAAGTTTTGAGAGGAATCAGGGATAAGCCTTACCAATAATACAAGCACATGAATTCCCTATGCGATACGGAGCTAACATCTGAAAATGAAATTTTAATTAGTTTATCTCCATTGTGATAATTGCTAGTCCCTCCTAGTTTCCTCAAATGGAATTTAATCCTAATCATCTTAAAATCCAGTAAGAACAACTATTCTATCGAAAGTTTGCTAATATATTATCACAATTGAAAATTTCTCCCCCCACAAGGAGAATTGACTACGCAGCTTCATCTTCAAGTCCTCGATCTTACTGATTCCACGCATGATATTAGCATGCCATGACTAAATTTGTTATACATTCAACTTCTTCTAGAACACTTTTGACCACCAAATATGTGGAACAAACACTTCAACATGTGCATTGGAGTCATGCCATACGTGTATGACTATATATGAGGCCTAATATCGAACAAAAATTTCTCGATGCAACATTGTTTTTACATCATATTTAGAAACTTACGGTGTCGTTATGGCATTTTGTGTGTTTTGTTCGTGCATGTCTGTGTTTATGCACGAGCTTCTCGCTCGAGCATGTCTAAACTACCATATCACTGAATGTCTTAAAGTTATAAAACAGCAAAGCATGTATATTGAGCACATATTAATCATACATCACATGACTTAAAATTTAGTAATTTTACGAAAGTACATCTAAATAACCCCTTAATATGTTTATTGGGTTATTCCAATTGACGATCTATTTTGTTCATCTCGATCTTCATGTAGAATGTTTAATACCAATGAAAAATCTTGATGTTTCAAAAATTTATGACAATCTGTACGATAATATCACCACTAGTACTACCAATGGTCATTTTGTTTTAACTTTGTCATGGTCAATTGAAAAAGAGCAATAACTACAAAATTCATTTCAAAGATCTAATAAATTGAGAAAATGGGATTCCCCACCAACCCTCTGCTCAACTACCCAACCGTTTCAAAACCTACCACCAAACAAACAATGGGCCCAGTCAATCTAAGGCCCACACTCGTATCCAATTCAAGCATATAAATATTAAATTCGCACGCGATCCGTAGTCCCATATTTCCAATTATAAACAAAAAACCCATTGGTTTGAACTTAGCCCCTCAACCAGTGGCTGCTTTGTGAAGGGATTTTTCATCTTAGCTCTTCAGCCACTTCAATTGTTTTTAGGTCCCACACAATGCTTGTCGGAGAATTTTTTTAAAAAGATATTTTCCAAAAAATAATTAGTAAAATCAACTCTTATATAAAAATATTAGTAAAATTGATCTATTTTTGGCCACGTCATCACAACTAGCAAAAAAGAGGTGGATTTTATAAAATATCAACTTTATAATATGCGGAACTAATAGTCCTGTATAATTAGTTCTTAGTAATTATATCTCAACTATTTGAGCACAAAGTACACAGGACTATCATTTTAGATTAATCATAATTACTAACTGCTAATAATACGGGACTACTAGTCGCATATATTTTAAGGTCGATAGTTTATAAAATTGATCTCTCTTTTTGACCCGCCAAGATAACGTGACAAAAAAACATCGATTTTGTTAGATATCTCCAGAAAAGATCAAACTTATTAATGTTTTTTTTAATGGTCTCTTTTGCTCGTAGGAATTGGGACCTATTCGTAATTCCAAACGATTTGAGGAGCTAAGTATCGGCAAGGACTAAAAAAATCCTGTTAGGGGCTGTTTGTTTGCAAAAATGGGAAGGAGAAAGCCTGCCAAATCTGACAAAAACTGTCAGTTTTGGCAGACTTTCTTGCAAAAACGCCTCTTTTAGAGGCGTTTTTGCAAGAAAGCCTGCCAAAACTGACAGTTTTTGTCAGATTTGGCAAAAGAGACATTTTGCAAGAAAGCCTGCCAAAACAAAAGAGGCGTTCTTGCAAGAACGCCTCTTTTGTTTTGGCAGGCTTTTGCAAAAATGGGAAGGGGAAAGCCTGCCAAATCTGACAAAAACTGTCAGTTTTGGCAGGCTTTCTTGCAAAAACGCCTCTAAAAGAGGCGTTTTTGCAAGAAAGCCTGCCAAAACTGACAGTTTTTGTCAGATTTGACAGCTTTCCTCTAACTTTCTCCTTCAAAAAAAATGAAACAAACGGGCCTTAGTTGAAACCCTCACCGAAAGAGTGGACCCCAAAATGGGACCTCTGCTAAATGCCAGCGTCGCCGACCGGGTGTTTTAATAAAGTGCGTTGGGCTTCGGATCTCGAGCCGAATTCGTGTGTCATCAGCGCGTCAAGCCGAAAGATTTACCCCTTGGCCCTTCGCTTTACCCGCAAAACCGCGACGAAAACCGGGGAACAACGAGGGGCATAATAGTAGTTTTCTTATTAGTCCAAGGTCAAAGAGCCCACCTACTCACTGCGTCCTTAGAAATATAGAGAGAACGGGCGAAGTGAATCTCTAAAAAACCCGGCATCGGAGAAATTGAGAGAGGGAGAGGGGTTAGAAATCAAGTAAAAATTTCATCTTTTTTTCGCCTTTTTTTGCTGATCTCGATTCTCTTTTTGTAATTTTTGTGGGATTAATTTTGGATTTTTTTTTTTGGTTAGGGTTTTTGGAGATGGCCGGCGATTCCAAGGTTTATCACTTTGACGAGGTTTCGAAGCACAACGCCACCAAGGATTGCTGGCTCATCATCAACGGAAAGGTCGTGCATTTTTTTTTCCCTTTAATTATTTTTTTATGAATTATTTCTCTATAATTTGTGTATTTGTTGTGGAACTTTTGGTTTGTTGGGTTTAATTTTATGCAGATTAGGGTTAGAGATTCTTTTGATTGATGCGGCTGGATGAGATCTGGGATTTGGAGGGAGAGTTAGTTTGGAATTGTTGAATATAATAAGCATAAATGAAGAATTATGGGTATTTTAGCTAAAAAGAATAAGTTTTTGAGAATTATGATTAAGTTGGGGTAGGTGTGAGAGTCTCATGTATGATGTGTAGGAGATCTGGGAGGTCTCACCCTTAGTAGATAGATGCTAGCTTTAGATGGGGGGAAGCGAAATCTTTTATAAACCCATGATTGGCTAAATAGAGATCCCAATATGCCACCAAACTTCTGCAATCCCGACATTCATGCAGGATGGCTTGCTTCCTTGCACTAATCTAGTCGCGAGCGAACACTGTAGTGCCGGCGTCACAGCTGGTGTGGCTCACTTGCAACTGGATGGAATGGTGGGGTTGGCTTTTATATCATTTGTCATCTAGGATTAACTCACCTCAAAGTGCTAGATGTCATTGTTAAGAGGTAGAGAGCCAAATTCTTATATACCCGAATAGACTCCCCATTCAGTGAACTTGGGACTCGATGGACTCTAACATTAGTATTCTCAATTAGTTGGTGGTGATTTGAACCAAGACGTGTTCAAATATAGTTTTCCGTGTTTGATTGCAATTTGAACTAAGATATTCAAATATGGAATTATAGTGGCGGATTGAATTCAGTGATAGTTGTAATTCTTGAAACTTTAGCAAATGACTATTCTTGCCGAAGGTAGTTACTGTTCACGGTGAATTGATAGAGAACATTTGATAGGAATATGAAGATTAGATAAGGTGATTTAGTAAAGCGTGTCTCGTATTTTGTGAAGGATGTGGATTATTATTCATCTATTGATACGGAATTAGATATCTCATTTAGATATCTTTTTTAATGAGGGGAATTTACTGAATCCTGTAACTAGTATAGTCATTGATGAATTTCTGAAATCAATTTTCCCTTCCTCATTCATATTGCTTGTAACTAAAGTAAGTCACCTAGCCTTTTAGTCTTTTAAAGGTTTTTGTTTCTTCTTGGTTTATCTGATGCCTTCAACACATTGTATTTAATCATTCATTTATCTTAATGTTGTCAGTTGTGGTTAAAGCTGAATGGGCATTACATGGAGTCCTGTAATTAGTTGATGATTGATTAGTTTCATGATCAAGAATGACACTCTAGTGATGCCTTACAAAGATGTAGGTCTAGTTGTAAATGCAGCTGCAGAATGCTTTTCTATTGCACCTTTACAAGGTTCTTCAATGTACTCAATTAGGCAAGAAACTGTTGGGGAAGCCCCCTCATTTCTTAGATCTTTCTTGATTTATGGAGCAAAGGAGATACCTAAAACAGTCGCTTTGGGAGCTTTAGGACAGCTAAGACAGTTATTTTGAAAGCTTTGGGAAGTTCAGTCCTTTATGAAATAAAGTTCTGGAGTTCACGAATCAATATCGACCAACTCAAGTGAAGCAGATGGCCTCTTCAAATATTATTTATATTCTATATTAGGAGATATTGCCAGTTGTTAATTTGTATGTAGTACTTGGTTTGGTTTTATGGTGTTGTTCCAGTTCTGTAGTACATACAAAGATTCGGACCTTCATTTAAGAGCGAATTTTATTGTGTGAATATTGGTGTTATGGGATTTCTCAGATTCAAATTAAGTTGTCCAATCATGATGAACAGTTAGGGGAAGTTTACAAATGCATCTGCTAGGTACTAGATTGGAGTGGCCAATGGTCATGGTTTTACTGTTTGTAAATTATTCTCATTTCTGCCTACTGGGAATATGCTTGTAGTTCCCCAAAGGCGCAAGACGCGACAGACATATCTTTAAACTTCATCTTCTGTCTTTCTTGTTCATCGCGAAACATACTTATCCATGATGCCATTGTCTTGTATATTTCTATTGCTGAAGGTGCTAAAGATGGACCTTTCAAATTCAATATATGTTATATTCTATTAGATGCTCTGCTTGAACATGAATTGATAACCTATGAGTAAATTGATTCATTGTTTGAGTCTGTATACGTAGAAATATGAAACTTGATAAAGCACATGCTTGTTTTCTTTTATTAATCAGCTGACATTTATCTTTTTATTTACTGCGAGTTATAAACTTATCATGGATTTAGCATTGTTTTCCTTTTAAAAGTGGAGTTGGAAGCTGACAATATTATCCTTGCTGATTGCAGTGGCCTTTATTGCCTTTTGTCATTGTTGATTTTACATCTAGTGTTGAAAAGTAATAATACGTTCCCCTTCTTAAATGGATTATTCAGGTTTATGATGTCACCCCTTTTATGGATGAGCATCCTGGTGGTGATGAAGTCTTGCTAGCAGCTACTGGTAAGATTTCTACTTGCCGACTTAAATTATGCTTTTACTATTTGTATTTGTCGTGTTTTTTTTGGGGGTCACAGAAATAGATAATTTTGTCATATGCATTTTAACTACATGATATATCATAATATATTGTTGTCGTGTCATTGAGGGGCCTCAGGGCTCGTATGGCATGTTTCTCTTGAGAAATTAGACATCATTTATGGAACTAAGAAAAGAATTAGTAATTTTACGTTTTGGTCTTATACTACTGGCAGCATACTATCATAAGAGGGCAAGTGGTGTCTAGGATAGAAGTATTTAGTAATATGAATTGAAACATGTGCAAGCTGGCTCAGCAATGCTTTACTAGGTTTGTCCTTTGGCATGAAACTATTGAGTGTACTCGGACACCACTGTAAATGTGAATTTCATGATTATTAAATATGAGCCATTAGAAACATACCACCAAATGTTTCCTCATGCATGCAGTGGAGGTTTTACTCATAAAATAACCACTTTACAAATGCATTGCTCTTTCATGCTATTCTGATCATAGATATTATCTATTAGGAATATCTATTGTCCTGTGGTTACAGTGGTGTAAACCCATTGACCTTTCCTTAAGTAACCAATTGATCTTGAGTAGTGTCTTTATGCCAAATGATTTGATTTTTTATTTCAGTATTTAAAATTTCAACCGAAGTTTTCTTTGGTTCCTAGACTCATTATAGGCCTGAAGTAGATTGATAATAGCACTTTTTTTTTCTCCCACAAATGCCAATATAACTGATTTTCCTGTAGATGGGAATTTATGGTGAATCCAAAAGGTGCTATTTTATGTATCGTCTTTTTAGATACCTTTTCTTTTAGGATAATTACTTTGTTAGTGGTATCAATAATTAGTTCCTTTTGCATATGCATGAGCCAACAATCCAGAAGAACTATTCTGGGAAGTACATGCTTGAGAAAACAAGATATTCATCTTAACACTGCCTATTGTCGAGAAGCATACTACTTTTCTTAGTGAAGGACTTTAAATCTTCACCCAGTTGAACTCTTCTTTCCTTTAAATTACTATTTAGACAATGAAGCTGCTGCTTGACAATTAATCTTTTGGCCCCCTTTTTGGTCTGGAGATTATCCTTGTGCATATTATTCAGATATCTGAATCATGTCTGCATGAAAATGTAATCCATTCTCTTGGCGATGTTATGTATACCAACTATGAAAGTATATGGCTCCTTGTTTATGCCTAGCTAGTAGAAGTCGGTGCTATACCCCACTCTACAGAATAAACTTATCCTGCTGATTTCAGTTTTTTCTTGTTTCAAATTCATGTTGTCCCATGGGGGTCCATTAGTAAAGGAATTAGCATTATTAAATCATGGTGTTGATGGTTTCTACTAGGAGTATCTAGTTCGAAAGAGGTAGGGTTAAAGAGGGTGACAACGACAATAACAAGTAGCAAAATGGGAGATGCACAATCAAATTCTTACTGCTCAATGTAAATTATATTTGTAGTGAACCATTTAGAAGTTGGGAGTGCGTTGACAAATGAAAAAAAAAATGAAAAGTTTGTTTATAAAAATAAGGTTAAAATGGTATATTAATTTCCCATAACGTGTAGATAAAACAATCATGCATCGACTCTAGTAATCTCAACAACTTTGTCTCTACGTTGTTGCAGGTAAGGACGCGACAAACGATTTCGAGGATGTTGGTCACAGCAACTCAGCAAGGGAGATGATGGACAAGTACTTGATCGGAGACATCGATGCCTCATCTGTTCCAGCGAAGAGATCTTATGTGCCACCTCAGCAACCATCATACAACCCTGACAAATCTTCTGATTTCATCATCAAGATATTGCAATTCCTTGTGCCTATCATGATATTGGGCTTGGCCTTCGCCGTCAGGCACTTCACCAAGGCGGAATAAGCTCCCCCCCCTTCTTTAAACTGTCGTGATCAATTGAGACTTGTGGTTTTGGTGATGGATTGGGTTATTTGTGCTCAAAGGCTTCCTTGTGTTGTGACATTGTTTATGTATGGTATTACTTGAAATCTAGAATACTTGCATAACCAACAATAATAGCTTATGTGGCTTCAGTTAATCCTCTTTTCTTTTGTTTTCTTTATTTTGTTTTATTCTTCTTGTTTCATCTCAAATTATTGGTTTATTTATTTTTCTTAGCATGCTTGTATCTGGAAAAAGATTGTACTTGCATAGGGAAGAAATCTGATGTGAGATTGGAAGCCAATCCTTTTGTCATCTCTTGCTCAGGTGTCCAGGTGTCTTGGATGTATGTATGGTGCCCTGATCCTTTTCCCGAGCAATTCAGGTGCTCGAAAATGTTGGAAGAAAAGATGGATAAATTCTGTTATTTTGCCCATATTTTTTTTAATCCATTGCATCTATATCATTTTACTATCCTTGAAAGCTTATAATGGGTAGGAGAGGTTTCCATTAGTCGTGGACCACTATAGTGAGTTAAATTTTTAATTAGTTTGTTTAGTTCAATTTGTTATTAATAAATTTAATATCTATATAATGTTTGGGAATTTCTCATAATAAGGGGGTGTAGGATCAGAATACAACATTAACTGTCTACCATGCGCTTCTCTATAGTAGCCAACTATTTTTAGGGGTTAGTTTGTAATTTTTAGATTTTTAGAGAGTTATTTGTAATTTAATTTTTAGGGTGATATTTGTACTTTTTAAATTTTTAGTATTTTGTTTGTAAATTTTAATTTTTTTAAGGAGTCATTTTTTATTTTCGAATTTTAAGGCACTTTTAGATTTTTTTTAAGGGGGCTATCTACATTTTTAAGGAGGTTGTTTGTAATTTTTAAAATTTAGGGAGCTCTTCGTAATTTTTATTTTTAGAGACTTTTTTGTACTTTTCAATCAATTTCTTCTTTTTAATTCTTCATGTTTGTGCAAAAAAATTATAGTTTTTAAATTTGAGGGTATTAGCAAATATCTTGAGTTAGGAGAGAATTGAAGATGCAGAGCCTCGGTAAATGTTAGAAACTTAGGGGGGCAACGACATCTTTTTCGATCTAATCTCGAGTAGGAAATAGTCCGAGGATTATAATAACACCCCTATCTCCCCCTATTATTTAGTCTTATATCCAAGGAATATTTCATTTTAATAGACTAAATAGTTTCACCTAATCCCCCTAAAATTTTTATTTTAAAGGATAAAGGGTTATTAACTCAAAATAATACCCAATCCAAACATGACCTAAATATTTTTCACATTATGCTGAAGGTTTGATGTCTATGGGATTAGAATTCACATTATGCTCGAAGGTTTTGTGCACAAGTAATACCATGGACGGAGAGATACTGTTTCAGAGAAGTAAAGATGGCACATCGTGCACGGAAGTTGGCCCAACTACCGAGAGGCATTTCCTATAAGGTGCCAATGACAAGAAGCTCTGCCTTGACGAAAAGAAAGTATCCAGTAAACACGGTCCATTGGATACACGGTGCGCCAAGAAAGGGAGGTCCAGCTTAAGTAAAATCCTTCCTTTTATGGTCTCTACTTTTATCTGTTACTGCATCAGAGAGATGAACAGAAGACCTCGATATCAATCTTTTAGCTCCATTTTTTAAATCCTTTGTTAGATTAGAGCCAGAGAATAGCTTATTATTGGTGATCAATGTAATGATTAGCCTTGGTGCATCCCCGATGGTGATGGATTAAGGAGAAAATTAAAACAGGAATTTTCTTCTTAAAGTAAAAGGCCGCGACATCAAAATGGACTTTGTGCCCAAATTAGCAAGTAAGCAACGGCCCAATTCATCCAACTTAGCGCTTCCTTGATGATTGTAATTCAACGGATTCAGAAGGAATTATAATAAGGAGAAATTTTGAAAAACGACCGTTTTTTAAAAATAATAGGCAAAATCGACCGTTTAACAAAATAATTGGTAAAATCGACTCTTTTTTGCACGGGACTACTAGTCCCGTGCAAAAAAGGATCGATTTTGCTAAAAATCCCCTTTTTTGCACGGGAGTAGTAGTCCCGTGCAAAAAAATTGATACCCGACGCCCCTTTCCCCGTTTCATTTCATGCCAAAGCAGCGTAACCCCTCCTACCCTCAAATTTCCCCAAACTCTTCACTACAAAAATTCATCCAGCCCCGACAAATTCACCCACAAGACCAACGAAGCGATCCTCAACGCCACTGGCAGTGGCGGCGCCTCCGCAGTCGAATCCTTCGAGCGTCGACTGGATCTCCAAAAGCGCACTGAAGAGGCGGCTCCCTCCTCCTTCCTTCCCCGTTAATTCTGTTTGCTCTCCTTTACAAATCCCCCATTCCCAATTCCTAGGGTTTTATTGATTTTCCCTCCTGGAGAATTTCAATGGGGAGCAGCGAAGAGAGAATCGTTGCTGCCGCCACGGTCGTGAGATTTGGGGATTTTTTTGCACGGGACTAGTAGTCCCGTGCAAAAGAGGGGATTTTAGCAAAATCGACCATCTTTTGCACGGGACTAGTAGTCCCGTGCAAAAAAGGGTCGATTTTGCTAATTATTTTGTTAAACGGTCGATTTTGCCTATTATTTTTAAAAAACGGTCGTTTTTCAAAATTTCTCCTTATAATAATCTATAAAGTAGTTCTGCACTTAAAAGAACGTCAGATATCCATATTGACAATATGGAGTTTTTGCATATATACCTGTCAACTCTTTTATATTTGTAAACTTACCCCTCAAAACTAGACATATTAGGTTTTCCTACCGCTCCGGTTTAAGAATGTTGATTTTTAAACAAGACCTGTCAAAATTTCCAAAAAGTTTCAATATGTTTGCAACAATTTCCCATTTAAAAGCCAAAATTGTTAAGTGGAAGGGGTAGAAAATATCAATGCGAGAAAGTAGGACGTAATTTTGCAAACACCAATATTTTATCGGTAAGTTTGCAAATATGAAAGATTTGAAGGGTAATGTGCAAAAATGCCTTGCAGTAAATATGAGAATCATGTGGACTAGTATGTGCGATGCCATTTTTCGGGATACACATTTATGTATTATGGATGTTTCAAGATTTTCAAATAAGTTTCCTTCTTAAAAAGAATGTCAGGCATCCACATTTACATATAAAAACTTGTCTTTCTAAAGCTTCCACATTGAAGTTACTGATGCCAAAAAAATTGAGAACTGGTTTTGTGATAAATAGATGATGGTTTCCAGAGTTATCATGCACAAGAATGCATGACAATAGTTAAAAAAAAAGAAAAAGAAAGGGGTTTTTGCCTTAAAGTTTCAATGGTTTACCATGTTTTATCTTTAAACACAACTGTTTTATTTTGTGCTTTTGAATCCAATCATTTTTATATATTTGTCTCTAAGCCCTAATTCTCAAATACAATACAAGATAGTGGTGTTAGGTCTCATGTTTATGAGCCTACTATCTAATCTAGTTTTGATGATTAACAAACAATTCCTAACATCGTTTGTCGAGTGTTTGTGTTTGCTTGTTAGGTATTCTACGCAAAGATCATCCGTTAGCGGTTGGTTGGAATTAAGCTTAACGACAACATCCTTTGGAGGTTGGAGGAAACCGGAATGAAGTCATTTGCATTTCAAGTCAATGAACACTATTGCACTTCATTTATGTTACCAAGATCGAACGTCACGAAGAGATCATTAGCTTGGGTATAATTTTGTAGTCTAGGTTGTTTACTTTGTGTGTTATGCTTAAAGCTCAAATTTCACACACACACGTTGTTTCGTTTTATGGCTTTCATTGGTTGTTTCACTTTGCAAAATATTTTGAAAGATGAGTTTTAGCCATATAAATATAAAACAAATACATATATTCATATACATGCACATGTGTTTCATATTTATCGCATTATACGCGTTTTGAGAAAATAACGTGTTTATCGTTTTGAGAAAATAATGTGTTTATGGATTAAATACTTATTTACACTATTTTATATCCTTCCTCAAGTCCATTAGTCTATTGAAAAGTGTTTTAAAACTTGTTTTGATTGATTTTATCAAAAATCAAGTTTTAACAAGTTCGTGTGTTTTACCGATTTGCAAAATAATATGCTTTGGATTAGAGACTTAATATAACTGTTGTACATCTTTTATAAAGTCCATTAATCCATTCAAAAAAGTTTCAAACTTGTTTGAAATTATTTTGTCCAAAATCAAGTGTTTTGAGAATTCGTATTTTGACCGATTTTGCAAAATGATGAGTTTTCACAAATGGGGAATGATATTTCCAAAATTTCTTTTCTAACATGTTTATATTCATGTTTATAAACATTTCCCCCTTTATAATTTTTAGAATTTATTTGCTATTTTTTAAACCTACTTCAAAACTCATTTTTACTGTGCAAACAAGTCCCTATGCATGTTTTCAGTCGACTAACAAGGATCATCAGTCGACTGAAGAAATCGTCTGAAATTAGCATTTGTTTCTGTGCAGTTGACTGATGCACCATCAGTCGACCGAAGCAGCTCATCAGTCGACCAAAGCAGCTCATCAGTCGACTGATGGTGCATTAGTCGACCGACGGGCTTTGAGCGACTACCAACGGTCAGCTCATCAGTCGACCAATGAACCCATCAGTAGATTGACAGCTACTGTAACGGCTGGTTTCCAGTTTCCTGATTTTTAGGGATTTTGTTGTTTTTGTTGGATTTTTTTTGGGTTTTGGGGTTTGTTCTTAGAACCTATATATACCCTTTGGCCTCAACATTCTGATTCATCTAAGAAAAGTTTAAAAACAATTTTACAAGTTTGTTTAAGTATGTTTTAAAAAATCAAGTGTGGTGTTTATGTGAAGAGGGTTTCACAAGAGGAGGAGATCATTTTTGTTCTTGAGCTTCAATTCACATATCTCTCTCTCTCTTGTTTCCAGAGAACTTTTTCTAAACTTATCTTCTAGCTTATTCATATTTTTGATTCATATATATTTATGCTAGATTGATTTAAGTTTAGTTTTCATTTTACTCATTGTTTTCACACACAATGATTCATATATATTTATGCTAGATTGATTTAAGTTTAGTTTTCATTTTACTCATTGTTTTCACACACAATCAATTTGAGCTTAAGTATTTTTCACATATTGTATATTTGGGTTGTGGTGAGTGATTCATCGAGTGTG